CTCTCCCGGAGCTGCGGATTCAGTGCTGTCCTTTGAAATAATTCTTCTCGGGGGAGGGGCAGGCATTCACTTAGTATTTGGGATTGGGGCCAGCCCCCCAGACCTCTCCACTGGGTGCTCTTTTAACTCCGATCATGCTTGTAACTGCTCTGTTACTGAATCATACTTGAAAATGCTTTCTGCAACATTATGATTATCCGCATTTATAGATTTCTGATTCTTGTTTATTGGCTACTTTTTGACTTTTGAATGGGTGTTCTTTGTAAATAGACGTGGAGCATAGGTGTAAACTATTCATTTAAACCCTCAGTGCCACGTAAGAACCTCCTGCTGATAGAATAAGGTATTAGTGGGTAGATTGATGATCAGAATGGAAGTTTTCTTTTTCTTCCCGCTTTGGGTGGGAGACAAAGCTATTTAGTAAATGTAACCTGGAATTTAAGAAACTAGGTTCTGTCACACTAGAGGCTGTCCAAATTTCCAGGAACATCAGTCTGTTTTGTTTTTTAAATCATTTTATTGGGGGCTCTTAACAGCTCTTATCACAATGCATACATCCATCCATTGTGTCAAGCACATTTGTATATATGTTGCCATTTTCAAAACATTTTCTTTCTGCTTGATCCCTTGGTATCAGCTCCTCATTTTCTTCCCTCCCCCCCACCCTTCCCTCATGAACCCTTGATAATTTATAAATTATTATTTTCTTCATCAGTCTATTTTGGAAGACACTTACTTAAAAAATTCCAGAGCCCTCATGCAAGTGAGAATTTTAGGTATGAGAAAATACAAGCAAGTTGATAAGACTCAATCCATTTTAGATTTTGTAAGTACAAGGTAGCTTTTAAAAAAATGACCTCGTTAAAAAAAAAAAGACCTCGTGATTTGCAAGCTAGTGTATCTTGTGGAACAGTTGCTTTGACTTGCTAACTGGCATTTGCTCAGATTGTGTGGCAATTCAAATCTGATTTAAACTTTTAGGAAATCTCTGTAAATACAATGAGGCGGAGTCATTGTTACCCATCAAATTTTAATGTGATTAGGACCCATGATGAAAAAAATGCCTGTTTGTCGTAAGATAGGTAGGTGACTTACCAGTTGAAATTCAATCTAAATTTTTATTTCCAGGTATTTCTACCCATTTTCAGTTCCACCTTTACTTTATCAAGTGGAACTTTCTGTGGGAGGACAGCAATTTAATGGAAAAGGAAGAACGAGGCAGGCTGCAAAACACGATGCTGCTGCTAAAGCATTGAGGATCCTGCAGAATGAGCCCCTTCCTGAGAGGCTGGAGGTAAGGAGGCAACCTGAGCTCAGGTTAGAGCTGGAGGCCGGCTGATAGGAGACCCTTCTTCTCAAGATTCGTTTGTTTTTCAGAAGGTGTAGTTAAAACGTAGCTTACCAGTGCTGTTGTAACAGAATTACGACGAATGGGTGGCTTTGCCAAACTTGCCTGCTCACAGTTTAGGATGGTAGAAGTTTGAATTCAGGGAGATGGCTTCAGGAGAAGGCATTTTTACCTCCGTTGACTTTGGGGCAAGGCTCTTGTCTCTTCTCAATTTCTGGAAAATGTCTTGGTTTCTTGGGTGCCTTCATGTGGTGTAGCATCTGTCTTCCCGATTTCTGCTTCTCTGTTCTTACTGCTCTTTTTCACAGTGAAATCTGTCCGTTGCAGCTAGACAGATAGCTTTGCTTATGTGGGGCTTTCCACCTTTTGCAGGGTGTATTCTTACCACTGTTTTATTGCTCAGTTTAACAAGATATTTGAGCTTGTCTTCTCCAATACCTTTAAACCTTGAGAACTAGTTCAGGGACATAAAGCAAAGCTTGTGCATGACTGTTCATTGCAGCATTACTCACAACAGCCCACAGGCAGAAGCGGCTTTCTAGATGCATCTCAGGAGACAAGGTGGCAGTCTTCTTCTGAGAGACTCCGGTCTGTTTATTAATGGTGGTCCTTCTGTCTTACTCAGTGTTTGTATTTTTATCTTTATATTACTAATGTTTCATCCTTACCACTTCATTTTGTTTCGTTTGTTGTTTCTGTTGGGTTTACCAGTTTACAAAGTACAGAAGGACGAAATGCATAGAGATAATAACTGATGCAAGTGTTTGTAGGGGGTGTAAGGGTGGGTGGTGGGGGGAGGGGGAGGAGATTTCAGGAGTAAGCAATGAAGGTTGGGAGGGGGAGTGAGCACTAGATTGTAGGGTGATTACACTCATTTTAAAGGTGATTTAATGGTGGTGGGGTGGACAGGAGGAAAAATGTTATGAAATTGATTGTGGTAATGATAGTACAATTCTTCTTGTTGTGATTGCACTATTGAATTTTGTGATACATGAATTAAATGCCAATAAAAGTGTCAGAAAAAAAAAGATTACAGTCTGGGAAAATCTATAGGGCAGTTTTTATCGTATAGGATCCCTCTGAGTTATAATTGACTTGTTGGCAATAGGGTTTTTTGCTGATGTTTTCACACCTGTAGTTATAATCTCGTTTTAAGGATTATTTTCATAACAATGCAGGGTATTTTTTTTTTTCTTTTAAAAAAATCATTTTATTTGGGGCTCATACAACTGTTATCCCAATCCATACACACATCAATTGTGTAAAGTGCATTTGTACATCGTTTCTCAAAACATTTTCTCTCCA